ATCTGCTATCCTACCACAATTCCAAGCCAAAGACAACTTATACAATATTAAAAAATCACAAAACTGGAAGAAGCTAAGTTTTTCATCTGATTGACGCAAAGCATTTGGCCAAGCAGTTTATTTTTTAATGCAATACTCTAAAAGAACTAAGTCTCTAATAAGGTATATTTCATCAATTGATTTTCAATTGATATTATAATTCTAAACTTAAAGTGAATAAAAAGTAGCCTGGGAAAAATAATTATATCATATCAGTCAGAAAAACTAAAAGGTGTAAAAAAGAATAGAAATTAAAACCTGTCTGAGGCAAACAGGGCTGCAGCCTTTGCTTCCATCTCTTGATTTACATGTTGCAAGCCCTCCTCATCGGCAACTGCAAATTTACAAAAGATAATCTTATAAAAATTAATCTCAGACTGACAACTAGAATAATTATTGATCTAAAGATTCAAAATTGAAAACAATAAAAACGAAAAATAGAAAACCTTGTCATCTGTCGCTCTATCAGAAACAGAAGGTTACCACAACAACATATTTAAAAAATGTACATGAATTTAACACATTTAACAAAAAATAAAAAAAGTACCGACATCCTCTACGTCGATGCTTAATTAAATCCCGATATCGCTCAAAATTAACAAACTCTTCTAGTTCTTCTTCTTCTTCTGACTTTTCTTGAGCATGGAAACGTTTCACAGGTTCCCGGATGAAATCTAGAAGGGCCCGCCCATCAAATCTACATAAACAATGGAATTAAAACTCTCAATCAAACCACGTCTCTATGTACCAAATTCAACAAGTGAAATAAATGACACACACAAAAGGGATAGAGTTTGATACCTATCAATCATAACATCTTGCTTCCCATTCCAAGGTATCCTACACCACAAGTAAGGAAGTTTATCAAACACTAGTATTCAACAACAATGATGCAAGCAGAACAACGTAAATTGAAACAAAATACAACGAACATTTTACAAAACACTACGATATTAGAAAAACTTAGAACGGATTAATTACTAAATTTATGTACATAAAACAAAGCGATAAATGAAACTGTAAAAAGAGGGTCTCACAAGCCTTGCTGGTCCTGAGAGGCCTGGTAGAGGCCATCGTCTCGATACATGCGACAACGCGAGCCGATAACCTGAATGGATTGCTGAGGATCGCCGCGCCGCTTCGCCAAATAAACGGCGCGTCTCTGGGCTCGCTTTCGAGCCGCGTCCATCATGTCGTGCACCTTCTTCTCCGATCTCCTAGCCTCGTGCCACATCTTCAACGATTCGCAAACCCAAACCCTAACCCTAGACTCTCAGTAAGGAATTTGGATTATATAAATATGATCCACCCGATCAAATATTGTTTTGTTTTATGGCAGACGTGAGTTCCCTGTAGAGGTTATATTTTGATCTGGACCGTCCGTGTCAGCATCTAAATGGGGTCCATGGAACACCAGCATAACGTTTAAACGTGGCAAGCAACTGCAAATTTTTAGGAAATTAATAGGTGCGTTCGGTTTATTATTTTGAATATGATTTTAGGAATAATATTGGGTAGTTAAATAGGGGAGTATTATGAGGTAAAATTTAAAAATTTATAAAAAAACCCTTAGGTTTGCTAATTTAATTAAACACTCCAACATATAAAATGACAAAAACACCCAAACACCCACAATGCCAGATTTCGACCACCATCACCAGAATCTGCTCAGAAAATTGTGTTACCTTTTCTGATGGATCTGGTCTGAAAAGGTCAGATCTACAGCTAGATGTGACCATCGATGGTTAGAAAAGGTCAAAGATCTTTGGCCATCAACGACAACCAAAGATATGGCCGTCTTTTTCAGTAAACGATGACCAAGATTTGGCCGTCGCTGATGGCCAGATCGGTGAACTACTAGCCAGTTCTAGTCATGGTGTAGGCTGTTGTACAGATTCCGGCTACCACCGACGGTGGTTGTTGGAATCTGGCAATTATGGGTTGATGGGGGTGTTTTTATTAATTTTTAAACTTTTTTCTGGGAGTATTTATGAAATTAATAAACTTAAGGGTTCTAAAAATAATTAAAAAATATAGAATATTTCTTGAATAATGTGCCAAACAATATTTGGAGAATAGAATTGGGAATATGGGTAGAAATAGGGAGCCAAACGCACCCAATATTTCTATATCATATTACATAGACGAGAGTTTGGATCATATAATATTTTATTATAGAGATATTTTATATTAATAGAGAGAAAGATCACCTTGAAGATTAGTAGGAATATTTAGAAAATATGTTTGATTGGTTCGAATAAATTGGTGAATAATATGTTTGGTTGGGAGGATAAATGGATGAGTATGTTATAATAGTATTTATTATTATTATTTTTTAATTATTTCTTTTAACCCTCTACATTTGAAATTTTGCCAAAATACCCCAGTTATATAAAACTTTAATTTGTAGCAAAATCACCCTCACCACCCAAGCCACTGCCGACAGCCAGCCACCACCGCCGGCCGCAGTCGAGAGTCAACAAAATGGTACACGACTGGCCGTATATGGCTCACTGTGTGCCGACAAAGCTGAAAATGGCCATGGATCACAAATCCATGGCCTTTTCACGGCCATAGAACTCCAGATCTAGCCGTTCTCGGACATGGATCTGTGATCCATGACCGAAAAAGGCCTTACTGGCGCATGACCTGCCAGATCCCATTGGTCGTGCACCATTACGGCGACTGATGCTGGCGGCCGACAGTGGTGAGTCACGGCCAGCGATGGTCTTGGGCAACTGGGAGTATTTTGTTAACTTTTAAACTTTTTCATGGTTAAGGTGTTTTAGCTAATTTCTCAAATGTAGGGGGGCTAGGTAATTGTTATTTGGTAGACATTTGATGACAATTGTGTCCGAAATGGTTTTTAATTAAGGGCAAAATGGGAAGAAAAATCATATTATCCCAGTGAAGTTTTGATAATAGCCTCTAGCAAGGTAATAAGATCACCCCCCACATTACCAATAGTAACCACTATTTACAATAAAAGATTACCATAATATTTTATTACTTACAAGGTGCGTTTGGTTCAGAGAATGTTATATTATTAAGGAATGTTATATTACTGGAAAGATAGATTACTCGGGAATCTTTAGAGAAATGTGTTTGATCGATTGGAATAAATTGGTAGGTATGTTATAACAATATGTTTGGTTGGGAGGATAAATGAGTGTGTATGTTATATAGATTACTAAATTGCCCTCCTTTTTAAATAATAATATAATATTATTTTTATTATTATTTTATTCTATTATTTTTTAAATTATTTCTTTTAACCCCCTTATATTTGAAATTTTACTAAAAAACCCCAACCATATACAACTTTAATTTGTAGCAAAATCACCCCCACTTACCCGAAGCCACTGCCAACAGGTGCCATAATGGTGCACAACTGGCCAGATCTGGCTGGTCATGCACCGATGAGGCCTAATCTAGCCAGATCTGGTTGTGAATATGGCCGTTTCACGGCCAAAGATATGGCCATGAAACAGCCACAGATCTGGCCGTGAAAAGGCTAGATCGTTGGTCGTGAAACGGCGATCATTTCACGGCCAGATCTGGTCATTTCCGACCATGGATCACAAATCCATGACCGGAAATGTCTTTATCGGCACACGATCGACAAGATCCTCCCGGTCTTGTGCCGATATGATGACTTTCGTCAGCGGCCAGCGGTGATGGCTAGCGGCCGGCGATGGTCTTAGGTGGTTGGGGGTATTTTGTTAACTTTTAAACTTTTTTGTGGCGGGGTGTTTTAGCTAAATTCTCAAATGTAAGGGGTCTGGGTAATTGTTATTTGGTAGACATATGAGGGCAAATGTGTCCGAAATGATAAAATATTAAGGGCAAAATAGGGTCAAAATTAAGATTACCTCGGTAATCTTATATTAACACCTCTTGGGAAAGTAATCTGATTACCCCCAATATTACCAATAGTAAACACTATTTGCAATAAAAGATTACGTAATCTTTTATTACTTGACAACCAAATGAGAGAATCTTGAAAATTAAACAAAGATTACAAGATTAATCTTATATCATCCTGAACCAAACGCTACCACAAAATAAACAAATATTACCCCCGTTATCTTATTTACCCCTGATCCAAACGGCCCCATAAAGATGAAAAAAGAAAGAATAGTCCACCATTTTATTGTTTAATAAATATTTAGTAACTTACTATGTTATTTCAACTTAGAATCATAAGTGATTAGCATAGAAGGATAGAATAGCCTTAATCTAGCTTTGAGGGTGTTTGAGTTCAATAATACTAACCTCACTAACCTCTCTCACTAACCCCATGTCAGAGTTTGTGATTGGTTTGGTTTGACAGGACCCATTATTGGATAGGTGGGACCCATGTGAACTGATGAATTGTGAGTTGGCACATGACATTAGTGAGAGAAAATTAGTAAGAAGTGTTAGTGATTGTAGTGTTAATCGTTTAAGTTATAATATAAATATTATCTAATCTTCTATTTTTGTTTTCTTTGTTTGGTTTTTTTTTTTTTTCTTTTTTTTGTTGATCGGAGGTGTCCGAACCAACTTGCATGCACATCAACTAATCCTTTGAGATCTTAAAGTTAACGATTGAGTGAGTCTGACCTCTTGAATAATAAACTCAAGAATTTTAATTAACTACTCGATCATCCGGTGGTGGTTCTACTGGTTCTTCATTTGGTATTTCAAAGGGTGAAATGTAATATATTTATTGATAATTATAGGCCATTCCATTTCCCCTAAAGTTTCCTTCGACTACCTTTCTTACCTGTAAGAACCACGAGACCTAGGCGATATGTCATCCGCGACAAGCGGCAAGTAAAATCATTTCACTCGCCATCTATAGTCAAGAGAAACACAACATCGCGTAAGTGGTGTACCATTTACAGTATCACACTCATCTATCATCAACCCATAACCATTGAAATAACATCATCAAAATATTTGATGATTCAATTCAATACATATTACTTCAGAATTTACAGTACTGTTTGAAAAGTTATAGTGAATTTGATCCATGAAAGGATACCTAAAATAATGTTTATATATGTTCCTATTTCTGATACAATCATGTTAATTATGTCTAAAAGTTGAAACCAATCTCCAGATACACTTTCAGTAACTGTTAAATATAAAAGTGCTGCTTAATCTTTAATCTTCGCTTCCAATTACAGATCATGGAGAAATGAAAGCTATACACAAACCCAAAATAGTTAGGATCATAGAGATAGAGTTCATCCCCTACGCCAATTTCGTCGAAAATGTCTGAGGATGAAACTCTCAGCATGTAATGGATACTTCTTTCTGATCAGGCCATGTATACATTTCCAATATGAGAAGTCAACCATCTCTCCATCTTTCTGAACTATAAATAAACAACGAGTTCCTTCGAAATCGGGATGATAGCTCACCTGTCACATCCCATGAAAGTATTGGAAAAACAGTTATTATGCAGATTTCATGTTTAGCCAATGAGAAAACCAATCTGTCAATATCTTTCTGAAGCTCATAATTGAGCAAACATATGAACAGCGTTAGTTTTGATACCCAAACAAATTTAAGATAACGAAAATTTGTATTCAGTCACTTTGGAACTACCAATTCAATTAAGATTAGAGATAAGGTAAAGTTAAAGAGTTAGATGAATCCCAATTACAATTCAATCAGTTTTCGGAAGAAGATATATAACAGTTTAAGGATTATCAAGTACGTGAAATTTCCAGGTATCTAAAGTGTATTTACAAACACTACCTAAGTCTAGGCATTGTTCATGAAAGAGCAGAACAGAGGCTTACTGAGCTACAGAGCATTACAGGTACATAAATCCTACTCGAACCATAAAATACTATGTTATACGGAATTAGTCCACGATCTGAAAATTAGTTTGAGAATTATGAGATACTTTAACAAAAATATTCTGAGTGTGAATCAAACAAACAATTTATATAGCTAGAATTCCAAAGCAACAAAAAACATACCATGATGTGATCGATTCCACAACCAGTCTTTTCGAAATAATTTGGATGATATGGAAGCAGCCTCTCCACAATTACTTTTTCATGCTCAGGGCTTAATCTATCATCTATCTTATATCTATTACAGATAAATAAATTATTAATAAGAGAATATAAACAATACAAGTTTATTAAAATCATAAATCAATTAGAGTAAATTATTACCTTCCAGAATGAAGGATCATTCTAACAAGCCCAACAAGAGGCACAGTATCACTCAATATCTGATCCTCCCAATCAACCTTCCGGGACCTACCTCTTTCATCTCCTCTTTTATCATCTGATAGAGAAGCAACTGGCTTTCGAAGCAAATCAGGAACGTACACCCCTTGATCAATCCCCACTCTGGCACTAGCACCGTCGGAGGCAATTTTCACGGCACGTACACGTGGCATTCCATGGTAGGGGATATGATTGAAGCAGTTGAGGAAGGAAGAGCTCTTGACGCAGTGAACCTGCGGTGGTGCTGTGGGTCTGGAGACTGAAGCCATTAATTATAAATAAATGATCAGAACATGGTAGTTTAAAGTGTATGTTGTATGGAATTGAAACTTGTCGGAAGAGATTTTGTTGACGGAATTGGGTTAAAGAGGTTGAAATTGCGGGAAGATACAAATGAAATTAATTAATTAATTAATGAAAGAATAAATAAAAGGAAATCTTCTGTGGATATGAAGCAGCCAATGAAAGGAGCAATATGAGGTGAGTTGGCAGATGGGCAAAACCTTTATGCCACGCTGTAAAATAGATGGAAGGGTAAACGGCTAAACGCCGTTTCGTGAATCCTTAGAAAGACATAGCCTTGAGTAAGTGTGTTGTTCATGTGGTAAATCCATTATGTATGGATCCACACCACTGTGTCATAGATATGCATTGTCATCAGGCTACATGTCACTCTTTTAAAAGACTATTTCACTTATAAACAAGCATGGCAATGTTTCCCAGAATTCTGGGACTCGGTTTTTTGGGGGATAGAGGGGGGAGTGGGGGGTGTTTTAATCTCCGTCCTCGGGGATGAGGCGAGAGTGGGTGATGTCTTTCCCTCACCCCGCCCCACCTCATATATAATATATAAAATTAAAAATTATATATATACATTTATATTTTTCACTAATACCCATATATTTCACTTAATTACACAAATATCTTATTTATATAAACCAATATTTTCCCAATTTCCGTCACCCTAAACAATTAAACAAGAACAATCTCTAACCCATATTTATGTATAATTAATTATGTTTAAACGATTAATTTAAGTGTTTGTTATGTGGACGAGAATTAATTATTGTGTTTGGTAATGCTCAAATTAATTTATGTTTATGTAAAATTAACGAGGTGGGAACGGGCCTCCAACATTCCCCTTTAGAATAGGGAATAGAAATTTCTGTCATCCCCGTAATAGGGATGGGGCAAGGGTGGGGAGTGATTTTGAGTGCGGGGATAGATAAAGTAAATGAGATCCTCACCCCACCCCATTGCCATGCCTACTTATAAAGCATCAATTTATACACAATCACTCATGCCACGTGTCATCTCATGGAAGAGTTTCTACATGTGTAAAACTACAAAAAATTGCTTCATTAATAAGATTTCAAGTTGTGATCCAGGTCACATGCCACACCGCATGAGAATTCCTTCAGGTGTAAGTTCATTAAAGTAATAGTATATAAAGAGATTTCTCATCCTGATTGAGGCTTTCGTTTTGAGCAATTATATACCACCGTACCAATATTGAGCACCCAACTCGCTCATACTTGTAAACTACACAAAGAAAAGCAATAAAATAATAGCAAAAGTAGGATTTACATCTTTCATCTGAACCATTTTAAAAAATCTTTATTCTTAGTATTTATTAATCATTTTAGTATTATTTCAATATTAAACTGATTTATTACGAACTCTTGTATAGATTTTCTCACGAGATTTATATACTTTTCGTTAGTGCAAAAAATCGCATCAATAAAGTGGTTAAATAAATTGATCTAGATTTATAATAGAAGTGCTTGAGTGTTTATAAGTTAGTGTTATACCTTTTAAAAGAAAGAATCAACCAACACAAGCAACAAATCAAGATCAAGAATCAAGCACACAGTACAAACAGATTTACCGTGGTTCACTTGCTCTAAGATTGAGCAAGCTACGTCCACGTTGAACTCGAGAATCACACGAGCTCGCTGCACTAAAACTGTCAAGTTTACAGATTACACAATAAGCAACACAAGTCACTCTAGAAACCCTCCTTCAACCCGTAACCAAACCCTAGAGATACACCCTTCGAATCCCTAAGAGCAGTGTATACAATACACCCATTATGAGTACCTTGGAGGAGAACGACTATACTCCGGCTGCGGCTGCGCCTTCGTCGCCTAGTGCTTAATCGGCTTGTTTCGGCAAGTTTTTCCTGCCTTTGTCGCTCTTGCTCCGTTTCTTAGCCATTTCAGCGCCGTATCCTTTTTAACTACAGGAGCAAATGAATCTATCACAATCCGTGCATAATAAGATGCAAACACATTTTATGAGCTATTGTGCCACTATATAACATCATTAGGTCATACTTTGTTTGTCAACTGTTTGCTCATAATCCTTTTTAGCCGCTCCTGAGGTGTTTCTTTCTTCTCACCCAATGGTTGTTTTAAGGAACCACCAGAAGTATTTGGTTTGGTTAACTTTGATAAAGCTGAAGATGACGTGATGAAGAAAGAAGAAAACATTCAATGTAGAAAGTCGATTCATTAAAGCTGAATGACATAATAAACATAAATAAGTTATAAGAAAAAAAAAGCTACCATCCAGACAAGCTTATATAACACTAAGGAAGAAAAAAAAAAAATTTATGGTCTTAGTCTGATGGCCAATGAGTACCTTACTACTGGTTTAGCACTTTTGTGACCTTTTCCTTATCAAGGGATACACCAGATGCTGGATCAACATGCAGTGCCTCAAGAATGCGACCAGATGCTGGCCTGCAGGAAGCAAAGCATTAGAAACACTGATTTCATAATTAACTTGGAAGAATTTTTAAAAGTCCATTTCAAAAACAAGCTTCAAAAGGAAGCTGCCTTCCCTCCCTCTTGCCAGTTTATGCTGATAAAACCTAAGCCTGATCTACTCTAAACCAGAAAAGTTTGTCTCTGCAACAATATGGGGATAAGCTGCAGCAGAGTAAGACTGTCCAATCTACTTTTGCAAGAATTAAGGTCCAGTGCCCCACCGGTTCAAAACTCTGCCCGGGATGAGATGGTGGTGGAGAAATCCTTCAGCTTTGGTGCATCCCCATCGCCTGAGCCCCAAATTCAGTAATATACTCTATCTTAGGGGTCCTCAATTTGCCCCGATAATCATCAGAATATCCTCCACGAGCATGGCGCTCGAGTATGAGGGGGAGTGGGATTGTGATCTTGATCTGCATAGATGAAACACAATGAATAATATCGACCACAAATTATTCTTGTGAAAGGAAAAACAAGATCAACAACTTCTACAAACACTACGACAGGCATACCTCCGAAAACGAGGATAAGCTTCATAAGTTGGACTTCTTCTAGGCTCCCTTGTATAAAAGGTGTACAACATTAGATAAACCTAATTCATACTCAACCATTTTGTTACAAGATATCTGGTTTCTTAGAATTTGGGAATAGAAATTTCTAGACTTCAACGGTAGGGGTCTGATGGAGCACACGTGTTCCAGTAATCCGTGCAGCTTCTTTTCCTTTCCCTTTCTATTTGAGAGCTTTTCTTCTTTCCTTGCGACTCAGCTTCCTCTACAAGTCAGAATTTTAGATCCAATGACACAAATCGGCACTAAGAGGCACAACACAACAAAAAAGTGAATCTGATTTACAGTTGTCATGAACTTACGATTGCAGGATCACCTTTGATTGCTTCCTTTTGCCTTTTTTCTTCCTCTTTAGCCTTTTTATCCATATAAACAAGCCCACCTACCTTTTCACTCCAAATTCTTTAGCTATTTTATCCATTCCCTCATCATTGCTATCATCACTGTTAAATCCTCCTCCTCCTCCTCCTCCTCTCTCGTCTTCATCGTCTTCATCGTCTGAAAAATTGGTTTCCTCGTTTCCATTTCCATCATAAGAGAAACCACCTGTGAATATGAACCCTTGCTCACAGAGGCTGTGACGGTGGAGGTCTACCATACATGCATAAAAAGACAACATGAAATATATTCATAATGGTCATAAGCTAACATTAGAAATGTTAGTAAAAAAAAATTCAAAGCACATGTCGACAAGATCTCATTTTCATTAAAATCTGATTAAAATAAGAAATGATGTTTCCAACTAGACAGTAGGGTAGTTTTGGTTCAAGAGAATCAACCATGGAATGAAATAGGCATTGCCCCTTCTCCGTTTGGCTTCAAAAAACTAGAATGAGCATTCCTCATTCCATCAGATACTAGAGTTGGCATTCCTAATCAAGCTATCCTCATTTTACCCATATAAATTAAGAAGATACACATCTGACTCTTTGCTTCCATTGCATATTATATAACTTCTAGGATTTCTTTTCATTATCTCAAGCAATGTTTTAGTTATCTTTAATTAGCTAAATATTTTAGGATTTCTGGGTACTTTTTCTATGACAAATAACTTTATAATTGAATACAAAATTTATTAAAAAAATATAAATATATCACTTAAGGTGAAAAAAGAAAATAGTTTCGCGTATAAGGGTCTGGTCAATATAACTTGTATATAAATTATAAAATTGCCAAAATAGGGTCCCTTCCGTCAAAAGAGGATATATGTGATTCAATTGTGACAGATCAAATCCCATAACAGTTTTGATGATTAATTCAAACCTTGTTCCACACTTGATTTCTCTCAAACCATCAAATGCAACCTAAAATCTTACTCCAAAGCAACTAAGGATTGAACAGATATTATCCTGAAAAATAATAATACCACAATACTATCGGAAACTACATCTCTTGCACTTCATAATCATTATGTGATAATTAGGGTGTGCTTCCACAACAGTTTGGGAAGCCATCTCCAAGTATTTGACCGAAAAACATTTCTTTTCCTCAATTGTAAGAATTGCAAGGAAAACAAAAATAAAGTTTTCTTGGAAGGTCGTTTCTTTGAACTACCAGAGGAATTATATCAGTATTCAACTTTATATTGCATTGTCAATATGCAACAAGCAATAATGCAAAAATCTAAAAGTACAAACAGTGATAAACATCCACAATGCAAAATCATTTCAGCTTTTACCAATATCAAATGGAGAAATAGACGAAATCTGCTATCCTACCACAATTCCAAGCCAAAGGCAACTTATACAATATTAAAAATCACAAAACTGGAAGAAGCTAAGTTTTCATCTGATTGACGCAAAGCATTTGGCCAAGCAATTTATTTTTTAATGCAATCTCTAAAAGAACTAATCTCTATAAGGTATTTTCATCAATTGATTTCAATTGATATTATAACTAAATAAAGTGATAAAAAATCTGGGAAAATAAATATTCATATCAGTCAGAAACTAAAGGTGTAAAAAGAATAAAATTAAACACTGTCCGAGGCAAACAGGGCTGCAGCCTTTTCTTCCATCTCTTGATTTACATGTTGCA